GTACTTCTGCCTCTAGAAAAGCCAATCTATTGCCAGTGCCGTTACAGTCAGATTTTAATTACAGGAGCAGAACCCCACAGATGCTAACTGGTACTGAGAATGGGCCACAAGCAAGTAACAAACAAAAGAGTTTCAGCATTGGGAAGAGGGAGTGCAAAAGCATGTCTTCTTCTCAAAGCAGGGGGGAAGGATAGGAAAGGAGTAAGGAAAAAGCCCCAAATGAACCCTAGTAAGTAGAAGCTGCTAATCCCTAAAGCCTCAGAGTAGAGTGCAAAGCCTTGGAAGAAAGAAATTAATAACTTTCAAAGTATGACCTTGAAAATGGAATTAACAGTATTCGTCCCTTTTAAGCCGTCATGATAATAAAGATTTCATCTGCTGAAGCTCTAGCAAGAGAGTCAACAGACTGGAAAAATGACTTCTTCCAAGGGAGCTGGCAAGTGTAAAACCTAAGACCCCTCCAGGAGCCAGGGAGTGAGGTGCCATGGAGAGACCTGTGTGGTGCATATCCACTTTCCCTTTGACCTCAGAGGTCAAACATCCCTTAGAGGATATTTTCATTCCTCCCTCGTTTTTGGTCCTCTTTGCTCAAGAAGCAAGACTTTGCTGTAAGCAAAGTTAACTTGCCAACAGCATGGAGCCCAGAGCCACGAGGATGGAGAGAAGCTTGAAAAATAGCAGGCTATCTCCACTTGCTTTGCCATCACTCCCTTCCTTCCCATCACAGAGAAGTCTTTCTAGCCTGTCCCCTGCCTCCTCCTTGCCTAACCTTCAGCTAGAAGCTCATGGGGTCCGATTGTCCTCTTACACTGGGGTTTATCTCAGGTTCTTTGAGAGGATCCCAAGGGCAGAGTCACCAAAGCAAGTGAAGAGCCTGTAGCTTTTTGATACCTTTTGAAACTTCTCTCTGGGCTCTCCTCCATGAGCACTAGCAGACTTATCAAGCCCTGGAGTCTAGATAGTATAAATAAGAGGAAAACTGGGCATCTGCTGTCTTTTCCTATCTCCACTTTGTTTTACTCAGGTGATAAAACCCGGGAGCCGGTGGGAAACTCCACAGTGGTGAGTGCAGGTGTGAGACGTGTAGATGGGTGGGTGATTTTTTTCCCCTCTCCATATGGACCAGGAGTATATCTACTCCCTGCTTGCATCTCAAAAAAAAAAAAAAAAAAAAAAAAACAAACAAAAAAAAACTTTTAAAGGTTGGGAAGCCTGCTGAAAGTTATATATCCCCAGTTTTGCTCCTGATGCTGGCCTTGTCCCATCCAAAACAGGCAGTGGCAGCATCCACGGGAGCCCCTGGTAGTGCAGCATCCCTGCCCTGCCGGGTGCCTTGCAGGGGAGGCTTCTGCGGGATTCAAGTGAGCCCTGAGATGGTGGGTGGTTTCATTATTTTTTTCCCGTTTTATTTATTTATTTCCTCTTTATTTTATTTTTTTTTTCTCTGCCTTCGGCTGCCACCTGGTGGGGAGGAGGCGTGTGGCTGCCGCCGACAGCAGCTCTCAGGGCGCAAGCCACAAACGCCTGCCCCTGCTGCAGCTCCCCCTGCTCCTGCGGGGCACAGGTGAACAGCCGAAAAAAATTAAAAAATAATTAAAAAAATGTTGAGGGAGATTGTGGATATAGAAGCCTGCGGGGAGGCCACATATTCAAGGAAGAGTAAAATGTGCTTCCATGTTGTGGCTGCCCCATCCCTGGAGGTGCTCAAGGCCAGGCTGGATGGGGCTTTGGGCAACCTGGTCTGATGGGAGGTGTCTCTGCCCATGGCAGGGGGTGGGACTGGGTAGGCTTTGAGGTCCCTTCCCACCCAAACCATTGATTGTGTGATTCTGTGAAAATCAAGCTCTTAAGGAGCGTTGAGTGCCACTACCTGTGGCTCAGGAGGATGGAGCCAGCAGATGCTGTGGGTTGATGTGCTTGCACGCCCAGCCAGCCCCCAGCTGATGAGGGTTGGATGAAACCTTTGGCCTGACCCCACAGAGCTGGTCTCTTCTTGCAGTGGGCTCCTTTTGGCAGGGTGTTTTTGAGGAACTGGTGAGCTCTTGGCTTTCTCCCTGGGGTTTGCAGTGAGCGTGAGAAGCACCCTGCTTTCCCTCCTCCCTCCACCTTCTCATCCAAGTCCTACCACCCTTCCTGCCCCCTCTTTTCCTGCACCCTTTATGGCAGTAGGAGCATTTCAGCCGTATGGTGCGATGCAGCATACACACCCGTGTGTATGGGGCAGATCGTTTGGTGTAGCTGTTTACCTGGTGCTGAAAGACCAAACCCCTGCAGCGGTGCAAGGCTCTGAGCCAAAGCGTCAGGGCAGAAAAAGGTTCAGAGGGACTGCCACAAGCTTTCTTTCTTTTTTTTTTCTTTCCTTGTAATTAAAAAATATTTTTCTTTCTCAAGCCTTGCCTGCAGAAGCAGCAGAAGTGTTTTGGCTGCTGCCCTTCCACTAAAGAACAAAATAAAGCCAGCCCGAGGCAAACACCCGGCGTGGGAACATTCCTCCCGCCCCGCTAATGCCTGAGCAGCGATAAGCGAGCGGGGCCTTACGGTGGGAAAGGTCAGGCACCCTTAATAACAGCAGGTGCCACCGGCTTGGCGTGCGAGGCTGATAAAGCTCTGGCAGCGCCGCCTAAGCAGCACGCTCCGTGTCAGAGCGCGCAGCCACTCTCAGCTTTCTGCTGCAGGGAAGGGGGGAAAAAAATCACTGGGGCCTCGCCTGCTCTTCCACACCGTGACACAAAAATGCGAAGGTGTTTTCCCAGCAGTGTGAGGAAAGGACCCCTGGGGTTTCTTTGTGTGAGGCTGGTGCGGGGCCAGCAGCACCTGCAGGTGGGCAGGAGCAGCGAGGGCATGGTGGCATGGCTCCATCCTTCCCCCAGCTGAATTTATGGACATATCTCGGGCTACGCTGCCTTGGGAGAGATGTAGGACAGTGCACATGGTCCCCTCAGCCCAGAAGGGTGTGTAAATTGTCTGCCTCTTGCTGTGGCACTGGTGCCCATGACCAAGGCTGGATGTGGTTACCCCTCACTAGCTGCAGGACGGGAGGAGGCGCAATCGCTCTGCCCTTGCCAATTTGCAGCCTGCTCCTTCCTGGTGTGATTAATGCGGCCTGACACGGGCAGCCGCTTGGAGGCTGGGGTCCCTTAAGGGTTTGCTTGTGAAATGGTGCCAGATCCACTTACGAGCCCAGCAGCAGCAACCCGATTCTTTTCCCTGGCTATGGTGGAAGAAAACCCCCTTCACCATTGTGCGGCCCTGAACTTGGCAGTGCAGCCAGATTGCAGGGAGTGATTAACCCTGGAGATGAGCTGGCAGAGCAAACTCTCAGGACACCGGCTCAAGGGTACCAAAGCAGGAGGACAGCGGAGAAGGCACCGCTCGTTTGGCAGAGCCCCCGGGGAAGGGGACACTTTGCTGCCGGGGATGCTCGCCAGGGGGCGGCGGAGACCGCGGCGTGAGCATTGGCCATAACCGGTGCCCTCAATGCCTGAATTCATTGAGCTTTCAGGGCTTTGGTCTGTGAGCTGGCTGAAACCATCCTACGCTTTCACAGCACGTGTGGAGGTAAATGCGGTGCACCTGGGGTGGCCCCGAGCTGGCTCTGCTGCAAGGCGCGGTGATCACGCACAGCTGCCAGGGTGGTGCATGGCACAGAGAAAGCTCTGTAGCATGTAACGGCTGGAAATGTTTTGTGGACAACACACCTTGCCTGGTGGCTTCTTGATTATTTGCTGGGCCAGAGGAGTCATGTTTTGTGAGTACTTCCCTGCCAAAATGTGACGCACGTGGTCCCAAACGCTCGTTCCCCCCAGCTGTTTGACCATGAAAGACGCTGTCTCTGACACGCAGGTTCAGGTAAGTGCAGCAGCTGAACGTGGACTCGTTCCTGAGTTCAGGGAGGGAAAATAATGTTGTAGGATTTGTGTGACAAGTCAGAAAATGAGCAGGGAATAACTGAAAAAAAGAAGCCACAGATGGAATACAAATTTTCGACACGAAACAGATGATCTAGTAAGTGAAAGGCTACATTAGGGAAAAAAAAAAAAATCAGACAAATGCAAGTGCTACAGAATTTGAGGGATGCCTTTTGGTCACCACCTAGACTTTAATAGCAACCGTGCTGCTGGGCACCTGTGCTCCACCAGCAGAGAGGGGCTCTTCACCTGGCGTTTTGCTCCCTTCAGGACCTCAAACAGGGGTGGTTTGTTTGTTTTTCTCCTTTTTTTTTTTCACACACACCCATTAGAAATGGCTCTTTCTGCTGGTAAGCGTGTCTTCCTTCACAGTAGGATTAGTTCCAACAAACAGGCCCGTATCTATCTCCACACTTCAGCATCTTCTCCTATAAAACACTGCATCTATGTGCACAGATACACCCCCACGTGTAAATAAAGACGAAATAAAGACGAGTGTGCATTGGTGAAACCGCAGCCATGTACACCGCCCTGCCCATTACAGGGGAGAGGCTGCCAATGCTTGGTATTGCGGGGTGAATTGAAAGCAGCACCACTGCCTTTAGAGCCATCCAGAAAGAGGAAACCCGTCGATGAGAGGATGGATGAGATGTCAGGAGTGTTAGCACTTAATATTCCTGGAGCGAGCCTGCGTTATTTGTTGCTGCGGCACAGCGCTCCTCCCTGCCCCCTCCGACAGACCCGTGTGCGCACACATGCAGGTTCATTTCCTTCCCTTACCAAAAAAAAAAATAATTTTGCCCTGTAGGTGCCACATTTTGCGGCTGTGGCACCTGTGGGCACTAGGACAGGATCGCAGCCAGCCCCGGCACCCGAGGTCACCGCGGGCAGGGGGGACGCACTGCAGCGGTGTGAGCGGCACCGCGGGGCTCACGGCCAGGGTTGAGCTTTCCTGCTTGCTCCCAGCCTGGCTCCTGCAGGCTGGGTGTTGTGTGAGGAGAGGGCATTGGTGGCATGCTCCTCCTCCAGCCCCTTGTCCCAGTGCCACGTGTGATCTTGTCCTCTTTTCTCTTCCCTTCTCGCACCCTGCAGGACCCGGCACAGGGAGAGTAGACAATGGCTCCATGAGTTTGGCCGTCCCACTGTGGCTGCTGGCAGCGTCCCTGCTCTGCCTACTCAGCAAATGTTAATACAAATCAGAATTAAAAAATAATAATAATAATAATAATTAAAAAACCAACAACAACAACAACAACTACAACCAACACGACAACAACGACGACGACAACACACAAAGCAAAACGCGTTATACAGGAGACAGAGCGAAGAGAGGGGAGAGAGAAAAAAAGAGAGGGGGAGAGAGGGAGAGGACCGTTTCTTTCACAACTTTTGTGTGTTCAGGAGTGAAGAGGGGGGAGAGGAAAAATCACAGCAAAGACGACTCAGCAACATTTAATACGACTTCTGACAAGCCGGCCGTCAAGTCACCGACCGTCTAGGAGGCACCACAAAGCGAGGGGGAGAATGGGGCACCAGCAAGGAGCACGTCGCCGGAGGATGCTGCGAAGTAAACACACCAACGCAACCCGCAAAGCCAATCGAACAGAAGATCCCTTTTCTTTTCTCTCCTCCTTCCTCTTTTCCATACTCCCTCACCTGCCTTCCTTCCTTCCTTCCTCCCTTCCTTCCTCCTCTTTCTTTCTTTTGCAGAAAGAGGTCTTTGCTTCAGCGTCTGTAGCCACTTAACTTTTTGGATGCCCTTGGTCATTTTTTTGAGCCAACGCTCAGGCGGTTCATACTTTTAGGAAAAAAAAGAAAAAAAAAAAGAAAAAAAAAAAAAAAACACAACAGAGCAAGTTATCTGAAGCTCTCTGCACACTGGTGTCCCGTGAAGAACCCCTTCCTCTCTTCACCTCATCCCGTGCTCCTGTGCACCGGGCCCTTGCTAACAACCTTCCTTCCTGTACCCTCCTTCCTGCAACATCACGCTCTGGCCTGAACTAAAGTTGTGTCAATTCAACCGAAACCATACTTTTATTTCTTTTTTTTTTTTCTTTTTTTTTTCTCTTTAATTCTCTTCCTCTCCCCCTCGATTTGACTAAGCGTCTTTCTCTTTCTCCGGGGTGTGCCTGCGTGCGTGCATGCGTGCATGTGTGTGTGCGTGGCTCTCGCGCTCTGTCTCCTCTTTCTCTCTTTCTCCTGCTCTCTCTAAGCATGCACGAGGAACAGTCCATGTGTACATACGCTCATCCCGCTGTAGATAACGTCCTGCCTTGTAAGTGTGAGACCAGATGCTGAGAGATCACTCGGGCAGAGAAGAGGGGTGAGGAGAGAGGGGCAGCTGCAGCACAGGTTCCCCTGGTGGCCCTTCTCCAGCATCCTCCCGGCCACCTCGCTTGCAAGAATCAGCCTGCATCCTTTTTTAACCTTTTTTTTCCCCTCTCACCTGGACCTGCCTGGCTCTCAGCCTCCAAGTAGCAGCACAGCAGCTCCTGCTACACCTCAGTGCTTGCACACACTCATGTGAGTGAATGCACAAGTGTGTGTTTGTCCAAAAACACAGAAAAAAAAGCAGTACGGCGTGCAAAGAGGTGCCTGCTCCTGGGGAGGAGAGGCTGGGCCGGTACAGGTGAGGGATGAGACCTTGGCCACTGCAGAGCAGCCTGTCCTGTAGGCACAGCGTGTGTAGGAGCGATGCCTCGGGTGAAAGCCATGGTGTGGTCATGCCTAACCATCTTGGTGTTCATGCAAAAATCGCACCGATGTCCCCTTTTGTTGTTGTCCTCATCATCCTCCCCGTCACAAGAAGTGTGTGCTCTGTAAGGGTGTGCGTGTGTGTGTGTGTGTGTCTTACACCACTGCTGTGATGAAGCTCACTTTGCAAATCACGCAATTGAAACAAATTGGGTCAGAAAATGTCCAGGACCTGTGAATGTAAGAATAAAAACCAATGCCAGGTCCGAGATCCCGGGCTTATGAAGAAGGAGCTTGAAGTGGTGCAGTGACGAAGTGGGCAGTGCAATCCCCTCCCCTCTTCCATTTCCCATCGGAAGGGCTTGCTGCAGGGGGATGCTGCTTGCTGGCACCCTCCTTGGGGCAGAGTTGTGCACGGAGGTGTCTGCAGGAGAAGCTCCAGGGAGACCTGAGCAAGGAGAGGGAGAGATCAGGCTGTGAGATCTGGGGGTGGGAGGGTGCTCTGGCTGGTGGCTGGGAGGTGCCGCAGCAGCCAAGGGGGTAAAGTGGGGGTTTTATCATGTAGCCTCTTGTTTTGGGAACAAACAGGACTTGAGATAGCCCAGGCAAGACGATGAAGCATCCCATGTCGATGTTTTATGGCTGCTCAACACCGCTGGGCTTCAAAGCACCAGCAAGTGTGCTTGTCCCTCTCCCAGAGCAGGAGGAACAGCTCCGGCTGCTGGCTGCTGTCAGCAGGCACTGCTGCTGCCTGCGTCCTCCCTGCCGAGCTCAGCTGTCTGGGGCAGAGGCGGGCAGGCAACTGAGCAGGCAGCCAAGGGCTGCTTGCTGACAGCCAGGATGAGCAGGGAAATAAGAGGGAGAGATGAGAGGCTGAAGGCTGGGTGATGGCAGCCTTGCTATAGATCTGCCGTGGGCTTGGACGGTGGTAAATCATGCTCAGTTGCCACTTCTCCGGGCCCCAAAGCCATACCTGGGGCATTTGTGCCTTGGTGCTATAATGTCCCGTATCCCTCTGAGTATTTGGTTACCTTTTGGCTACCTTTCTGGAGATCCGTGCCACTCGGTGTCTCGGTCACAGCTCCGTGTTTCCTGCTGCAGCAAGGGCTCCTCCTCCCCTTTGGGGTGCCCCCGCAGCCGTCAGCTGATGCTGTTCCCAAAAGCCGGGGCTGGGAGCGCACTGGGATGGCACCACATCACCTGGGTTTGCTGTCGCAGGCTTGCTGTCAGCAGGTGACTTGGTCACCAGGCTGCTGAAGGAGTTTTGGGAGCATGGTATTTTTTTCCAGTGTTATATTTTTTATTTTTGGCTGTCAAGGCACAGAGGCTTTTGGTTTAAAGACAAATATGTTACTAAAAGCAGGACACTCAATTTCTGAAGCCACCTCCCCATTATCTGCAGGGAATAACCCCAACACTTGGTTCAAGTCTTGCCTGCAGGAGCCAGGCGGACCTGTCCCCCGATGGTGTGGCTGCACAGCAGGGTTAAGGCCAGCTGCTTGCAGACCTGCCCGAGGAAAGCCACGAGCACAGAGCAGGTCTGGTACCTACAGCAATGCCAGCAGCCTGCTGCTGGCCGTGCCTGCTCCTAGAGGGGCTGGGGGACCCCATGAGCTGCTGCTTGTCTCACCGGGTGCTGTGAGCATCCCCCTGCTCCTCGTGGGCATCGCCCAACGCACCCATCGCGATGAGCGCTCGGACAAGCAGGGAAAACACAAGCCCCTGTTCCCTTTCTCCCCCTCCGCCCTTCAGCAGAGGTGTTGCAAAGGTGTTTCTCACGTCTCAGGCCCTTTTCTCTGACGCTGTTTCTCCTCCTCCCCTCCGCTCCACGTTCATGTTCCCCCCTTCCCCATGCCCTGCGGAGAAGCCGTGCTCTCGCCTCCCGCTGCCCCTCAGCTGGCCGGGGACCGGGGAGACGGGAGTTTGGAACGGGACACCAGTTCCTTGAGCTTGTCAGTGTAATTGTGTTTGGTCGATGGAGATTTAACATTTAGTGTTATAAAAAGAAGCGAACAAAACGAGAAAAAAAAAATAAAAATAAATAAATAATAATTGTATTTCTTCTACCGGTTTGTAAATATTCCGAGAGTTACATGAGATGTCTGGTAATGTCCAAGCAGAGGAACAAAAAGACTTAGAGTTAATATATGGCCCCACACTTGCTAGCAGATTTCTAACCCTTTTCAGACGACCGAGAAGAGGGGCGAAGGCAAAAACCTTTCTGAAGGGAACTGGGCAGCGGGAGCGCGGCCACGCGTGTGGCCAGTCGGACAGACGGACGGACGGACGGACGGACAGCAGAGCGTCCACCTGTCCCTGAACTGCAGGGAAGGGCGACGTGGGGCTCCCCGGCCGACACCTGTATCTTGGCACTCGTCTTCATTTTCCTCCGTCTCCAGCCCCGCAGCTTGCGGGTGCGTGGCCCCCTGCATGTTATGGTGCCGCTCATGAGGATCTCATTGGTGACATGCGTTGTGTCCGGAGTTAGTCCTTGTCTGCTCACCTTTCCCACACCACTCACTGACTGTCCACGCTCCCGTCCTGCTGCCTGCCCCCCTCCTGGCCGAGGAATAGCCCAGCCCAGCCCCGTTTGGAAGATCCAAGCCCCCGGCACGGAGAAAGGCGCCGTCATTAGCTGAGCACAAGCTGCACGTCTGAAAGGGATCTGCGGGAGCACCAGCGAGCCCTGAGGATTCAGCAGCGCTGGGGAAGAGGAGCTGGGAAGGCCGAGGAGCTGCCCTAGGATCCTTCTCAGCCCTGCCAGCGGGGATGGTTCAGGTCCACCTTTGTACAGCGCTTTACCACTTGAGCCCATGGGTACAGGGAAACAGCTCTCCTCCTCCCGAACCCTCTCACAGCTCTGCTCCGAGCCCCCCGACCAGCAGCCCCTCTCATCACGGTGCTTGGCACGATGTAGCAGCCCGGCCGGTCCCACGGAGGAGGTGCCAGCGGGGCGAGCAGCTCTGTCCCTGCCTTCTGATGCTGCACAATCTCACTGCCTCTCTGCCTCCAGCACGCCAAACTCCCCGAGTGAGGGCTGCCAGAAGCAAACCACCCCACGGCAAGAGCAGGACGTCAGGCAGGGGAGCGATGGGGAAACCAGGTGGTAATTTCCAAGACACGAGGCCAGGCAAAAAGGCTGAGTGCTGCCCATGCGCAGAGCTGCCAGGTTGACAAGGGGCAGACAGACCGTGGCCTCTCAGCACCAGTCCCAGAGCGCCTTCCTTTCCAGCGGGATGCCCAGAAGATGCCCAGAAATATTTTTTTTTTCTTTTAAAACTGCATGACTCCTGCTGACTGAGAGCTGCGTCACGCCATTAAAGCCTCTTTCTCTTTTTCCTTCTTGCAACTTGCCAGGACGGCGTTCAGGCAGCTCCTGCATCCCCCCAAAACCTCTGCGTGGCGGTCAGGTTGCTCCCACGCAGCAGGGGAGCAGAGGGCGGCTTGGTGAGGATGCTCTGGTAAGGCCCTCTGTGCCTCTTGGGGAGGTGCGTGTGGCAAGGAGACCAGCCAAAGCCGGGCCTGGGAACGAGGAGCAGCTCTCCTCGTTAGCCCAAGGTCCTTCCCTTGGGGCAGGGGTGGCATCCGAGCAGGGCAGCTCCCAGGTGGGGCAGGATGTCCCTTCCCCGCTTGTGCTCCCCGTGCAGCCCCTGCTCTACTCCCAGTCCCTCGGGGCACACACACGGCACATCCACATGCCTCGGGGCTGCTCCTGGACGTGACATGGAGCCCATGGATGGAGACGAGGAGCTGGGCGAGGCCGACAGCTCCCCAAAATCAAGACGTCTGCTCCCCGTGGTAGCCACACGCACGCCCGCACACACCCCAGGCTCCTCTCCCCCCCGCACCACGGCACGCAGCCGGGCCCACGCTGCTCCTCTTCCTCACGGAGACCGGCAGCAGGCGTGTGTGCACGTGTGTGTGCACACGCGTGTGCGAGGACAGGGAGGAAGGAGGGGAAGAAGAGCCAGAACCTGCCCCCGAGGCGCCGCTGTCGCCTCCCCAAACCTTTCAGCTCTCCCAGCCGGAGCCGAGTTTCATCCTCTAGACCTTGAGAAGGAAGGGCAGTCCCTTCTTCGTGCTACACGGTGGGGTGGTTAGAACTCTCCTCATTAACAGTGTTATATACATATAAATATATATATATATCTATATCTTTATATATATTTTTCCCCGGCACTGTAGACATGAGCTGAACTTCTCTTTACCGAAACGAGAAAACGGCCCTTTTATTTTCTGCCATTGGTTTGTTTTCGGAACAAGCTCTGTGAAAGGAAACTTTACAGGCGCAAGCGTGTGTGGAACAGAACCCGATCGGCAACGAAACACCCCAACAACCGAATGAGCCAAACCCAGCGATGAAAAATAAGTAAATAAATATTAAAAAAAAAAAAAAAGCTTTTTATTTTTTCTTTTCTCAATGTATTTAACTTCTGTTATCTCGTTTCTGTTTCTTTACATGTATGAATGCTCTGCTCTTCTGTGATCTTAAAAAAAAAAAATACAAAAAAATACAAAAACGAAATAAACGTGAAAAGGAGGCGACGTTTCTTCATTTCCCCTCCCTTCCTTGCGTCCCATCGCTTGGCTCCTCTCCGACCCGGCCTAGGGGAGGCTTCCCTGCCCACGCGAGGGACACGAGCAGACAGAAACTGAGGAGATCTGGGTGTCCTGGGGGAGAACTGAGGCCAGTGCTTGCTGCCCTAGTGCTTGGAGGAGCTTGGGGGCTCTGGGCTGGGGTATTGGCATGGGGTGCAGAGGTGAGGGCTCCTGCTGGCTCTGAGGGAACCAACCCCAAGTTCTGGGGCCGCTGGGGTCCCACCTGCACACCCACGGCCGGGGAAGGGCTCCACGCCTCCAGCACCGGCAAGGCCAAGGCTCAGCAGAAGGTGGCGAAACCCTGGCAGGCACAACCTCTGCTTTCATTAACATTTTAAACGGTTATTTTTAATGGTACATTTAACTAACGCTAACTTATCCATGGGAAGAGAATTTGGCTGTTAACGCCGGCATCTGCTTAACAAACTGAGGCCTCGCGTTTGGTGAGGCATGAGCGCGGCACCAATAGCACTGCTGGCTAACAGCAGCCTCGTTAGCATTAATTGCTGCCTTTACTGCCACAAAGCGCTGCCTCTATCTGTTACCGCCGTTATCAGATGTGCCCCGTCCTCCCCTGGAAAGGGTAGGAGGGGAAATACCAGCAGTGAGGCAGGCATACCAGATATCGAGGGCCCAAATTGTTGGCGCTTAGCACAACTCGAGACTTCTATAGGAGTAGGAAAGGTGAGGAGGTGCTCTGGGGCCTGTGTGCAGTGTAGGGCCGGGACACGCCGAGGGTGCCAGGCCAGGCTGCCAGGAGCTGGGGCGAGAGCGGTGCTGGCAAAACCGAGCGGCACTTAGGGGGGTGTCTGAAGGCAGGGGAACAAAGGCCGGTACCGGAGCCACTTTGTGCCTCTAATGATGGCTGCGATGAGGCAAATGAGGGGAAATTAGCAGCAGACAGACAAATGGGAGCTCATTTCAAGAGGCAGCGAGCGAGACAGGATTGCAGTGAAGAGCTCGGGAGATTAACTGGGTGGCGATGAAACTTTATCTCCCAAGGAACCTTCGCGCAGGCTGTGCCCTCAGAGTGCTCCCTCCCTGGGAAGAGGCGCGTGTCGTGGGGAGCAGACCCGTCCCCTCTTGGTGCCGTGTTAGCGCCCTGCCCTCACCTCTCTCTTCCTGGCGCACGGTTTTGTTGAGCAAACACCAGCCATTTGGCCCACGTGGATTATTTATGAGGGTGGGGACCTCTTACCCGAGCAGCGCAGCAGCGGGGTGGGAGGATGCGGCTCAGAAGAGGCTGACAGCCAAGCAGGAGCTGGGCAGGGGCTGGCGGGAGGGGAGTAGAGAAGGGGGACGCTTCAGGCTGGTGCAGGGGTGATTTACCTGTAATGCCAGGGGAAGAACAGGATAAAACGATCCCTTTGGGCTTTGCAGAGGTGTTGAGAAACTGCCAGTGAAGGGTGAGGCCTGTCCCTGTGATTTGGAGCAAAAGAGACTGTGCTTTTGGGACGGAGTGGGGCTGGGAGCTCGCCCCGTGCAGGGAGATGCGTGCTGATTGCCTCCACGAGCGAGGGCAGAGCTGCAGAACAAAGGGTTTGTAGCTCACGCCAGGCACTGCAGCCCTCCGGTGAGACCACGTGCCGTGATTTCTGCCAAGCCAGGCAAGGCACGCACTTGTGACGGGTCACTGGGACCTGCTCAGGTGGAAACAGAAAATGAGTTTCCCTCCCCAGCCCTCACCCTTTCCCAGCCCAGCTCTTCTTCTTTTTTTTTTTTTTTTTTTTTTATTTTCCTTCTTTTCATCACCTATCTGCTCATGTTGCCTTCTGGTAGTCCTGAGGATGGGAAAAGAAACACAGCTTAATAGATAGGTGTTCACGAGGAGACTTGCAGAGGGCACCCGCATGAAATGAGGCACACTTGGGGGGGTACTTTTATAGGATTCAATACACGGGCACGGAGCTGGCAGCCTGCAGAGGTGGCCTCCCTTTCCTGAGCACACAGGTACATGGCAGGACAAATCCATCGCCTGCTGAAAACTGCTTTAGAGCAAAACAAATAGATCAGGACTGAAGGCCAGGAGCTGAGCTGCTTTATGAATGGAGATGCTGTTAGAGTGCTCTGCAAGGGGGATAATGGGCCATCAGCTCAGGTTTCACTTTACTCTTAGCACTGGATGGTAATCCCACACAGAGTGAATTTAATGCAGAGCTCCTAAAAATTCCTTGTCACTGTTGCTCTTCCCTTCATCCGGTGAGAGCTGAACCTGTCAGACTCCGAGCTGTCCCATGGCTTATGGGGAAAAAAAATGGCTCATGGAAAAAATATTTTATGGGGAAAAAAATTAAATGCTGCTCCCATATCAGTGCCAGAAAATCTTACAGGAGCTGCCTTTGGGGTGACCATAAGGTGAAAGTGAGGGATGAAGGAGGACACGTGGCCATGGTGTGCCATCCCATCCCATCCCCTGGTGGGACAAAAGCAGGGCAAGGCAGGGAGCATCTGGGAGGTAGCTGCAGTCAGCCGAGCAAGCACACACGCATGATGGGTCTTAGCAATGGCTCCCGAGGCTCTCCACCATCACTCGGAGCGTGGCTTCCTCCATCGTGAGCAGGGCAATATGGATATCTGCCAAGGGAGGCTGGGGTCTCTGCGGCAGGGATGCAGCATCCCCACCCCAGCGCCGGCTGTCAGAGCGAGGAGAAGGAGCAGCGCTCGGGGCCGCTGGTGGCTGAGCAGATACCCGAGCACGTGAGCCAGAAGCGGAGCTTCCTTTCCACCCACCGCAGAGCTGGGCTTGCCGTGAGGCTGGCTGAACAAAAAAATCAAATCCAATTTTCCCCTCCAGCAGTCTCGGCAGCAGAGAAAGGCAGGGCTGAGCTGTTTGCACAGCGCCCGGCTCCTTCTTCGCCATGCTCGGCTCTCCAGCAAACTCTGCAGTGCCCCGGGGGCTGCCACCCTGACACCCCCCCCTTCCCTGTCCCAGGACAGGGAGTTCACCCCCATCACCTATTTTTATTAATAAAAGAGCAATTCATTTTATTAATAAAAGAGCAAGGGGTGGGTCTGCTTGTTTGCCAGCACGGGCCCATCATCACCGTGTGCCATGGGGCACGGGTCAGCTGCTGCAGGTGGGGTTTGGTGAGGAGCTGAGGAAGCTGAAAAGGTGTTTCTGGTCTAAAATGTCATCTTAAGGGCTTAATAAAGATAAACTGAAAGACAGACAGCCTTGGCTTGTGCAAGCAGACCTTTTAGTGACTGTTTTTTGGGGGGAGAATTGTGCTACTGAGGGGGCAGCCGTGTCAGGTCGGTGCCTTGCGGGTGCTCTCCTGGGGCACAGCACTTAGCAGAGCGCTCCCTGGAGTGATGCTCCCTGGGAGCCTTTTCCCTGCTGGGTGCTTTGTCAGCAGGGATTCCCCAGAGATCATCCCCGGAGATGCTTTTACCCCTGGAAGGCAGCTGTCTTCACGGCATGTATTTTTAACAAGGCTTAAAGGTTTGTTTTATCCCCGTCCTCTTCCCCGCGGAACAAATACTTGGGAGCAGAGGAGCTATTGATCTGATCTGCACGAGCTCCTGAGGGATGAGCTCTCTTCTGAGCTCTGCCACAGCCTTTCCCTGCCCTTGGGCAAGCCGCAGAGCCCCGCTGCATAACGGGTGTCACAACACCTCTCCAGGGGCTGAGCCCCGTGTTGCAATGATCCTCCTTCGCACGGCGCTCCAGGGGCTGTGTGGACAGACAGAAATGATGTGACACTAAGGCAGGCAGACCTCTGAGGTCTGGAGGCATCAGCAGAGCCGTGGGACAGCCCTTTGGTTGCTGAAACCAAAGCGAAAGGCTAGAGCTGGCTGGCCATGCAGGCGCCCAGGCATTGCTGGATCATCTCCTTTGCCTGTGAGAGCAACCAACAGCCCTAAGCATTGGCTTGCTTATGGGGAGGGCCTTGAGCAGCTTCCAGATTGGCACCTGGAAGGTTTGGCAAAATGGTTTCTGGCCATTTTATGATTTTCCTGGAAGAACAGAGGAAAAGGCACTTCTCCTGTGTGTAGGAATCAAAGGTGGCAGAGCGATGAAGGCGAGCCTGGACCCTTCTGCCCCCCCACCCTGAGCACCTCTGTGCCATCACCTGGGAAGTCACACCAGGGACTGGTTGCTGCAGGGCTGATAGAAAGGGTGATAGAAAGACTGATAGAGTGAAGGCATGACCATGATCTCTGCAGGTTCCCCCAGCTGCAACCCAGAAGGTCCTTCAGGAAAGCCCTGCCCAGCCCTAACGGGTGCTCTTCTTACAGGAAACATTTCCTGCTGCCTCGCAGGGCACCCAGCACTGGGAGAAATTGTGCTGCGTGCCTGCTCGCAGCATTTTGAACCAGCCGACCCCTGCATTTCTGTGTGGCGTGTACAAGTGGTTACCTGTTTTGTAGTGGTGTAAATAGCAATTGTTTCTCTCTGGGGGATGCCACATGAAGCGAGTTGAGTGGGGACGTGTTGGGATACATCTGACTGCTCAGGGAGAGATCAAGCACTGCGACAACTGTATCACAGGCACATGAGATAAATAATCTCATACCTTCTGCTACCTGGCTGTGCACACAAGACTGAGCAGTGCCACGGCTCTGGGTGCCTCAGCTCAGGCTCCAGAGATGGGCACAGACCAAGCCCAGAAGAGCCCGGGGTGCTGCGAGCCACACGGTCTGCGTTTGGAAAGGACCCACGGGACAGCAAAGACAGGGCTGGAAGAAAAGAGACTGAAAGGTGAGGCATGCTTAAACCCGAGATGCTCTGCGTCTGCTGGTGCTCTGCTGCTGCTTTGCAGACTTCCTTCTCCCTGCCCACCGCTGCCCAAATAACAGGCAGCCCACCAGCTCGGATGTGCGGGCTCGGGCTCTTGATCATGAGCACCGCTTGGCAGCGGGGTAAAAAAAAACAAAAACGCAGACTCATTCACAGCAAGGCTGTGCAGAGCTGCTGTGGCAAAGCCTGTGGGCGTGTGA